GATTATCATCTGTTTGTTAGTTGTTAGCCACCCAATAATCTAAAAAAGCACCTTTAGAGTGGCTTATCAGATTATAGTAATCTGGCTTATAGATTATAATAATCTATGACAATAAGCTATTTGTTTGTTTCAGCTTACTCCTAATAATCCAGATTGTAATAATCCCAAGCTGAATCAAATAGGGTCTAAATGAGCTTATCAGATTATAATAAGCTGGGCTCTAGATTATAATAAGCTAATTCAATAAGTTGTTTGTTTCTTTCAGCTTTACCAGATTGTTTTTCAGGTAATCATAGATACATAAACTAAATTAAGTAAGCGTCAGCTGATCCAGAAGTAGAGAAGATTTAGCTGAGTAACAGAGCAAGATACTGGAGTGATACCAGATTCAGAACCGAAACTCTACACCACTAAAAAGCAAAGGATTTTTTTTTTTAAAAAAAGAAGGAACAACTAAGTGCCAAAGTGATGATGGTTAACTCAAGTACTCCCTCCATACTCACAAAGAAAGTCGTTTAAGATAGCGATACGGTCTTCAAAACACAAATTTGACTTCTTGTTTCTATAAAAATATTTATTGAAAAGTGATATATGTATACTTTTATGAAAGTATTTTTTAAGACAAATCTATACATATAATTTTTATATTTTCAAACTCAACAACTTGAGAGTTATTTATAATTTATATTCTCAAGGTTTGACTTAAACATTATCCTAAACGACTTTCTTTATGAGTACGGAGGGAGTACCAGCAAACTGTCAGTTCAAAGCACAAGTAGCAACAGTATTGAAGCTCTGGAATTCAAAGTTTGTTGCTAGCTGCGAGCTGTAACTTTCGACCAGATCACTGTTGCCAAGCCATGCATGGACCCACATATCTATTATACATTAATTTTGATAATTTGATCCTTTGCAAAAACTAATTTTACAAATAAACCACCGCCAAAACTTATTTCAAAAGTGATATTTTTTTTCAGCGCCAAATCGTGTGGCGCTGAATTTAGACACCTCAGCGCCACGTCACCTGGCACTGAATGCCGTGCCACCGTGGATGGAAAGCTGAGTCAACGTGACAACGTACATTCAGCGCCACGCTATTTAGCGCTGAGGTGTCTAAGTTTAGCGCCATACAATTTAATGCTGAACAAAAGGGTCATTTTTAAAATAAGTTTTGGCGGCGGTTTATTTGTAAAATTAGTTTTTGCAAAGGGTCAAATTGTCAAAATTAATGTCTATTATAACGATTGCAGGGTGCTGATCCTAACATGTTATTGGGCCACGTGGCTTCCTATAAATGAAGCTTCACCTCTCTGTAAATCTGCCGCATGTCTCCTTGCTCTCCTCCTGCTACACCTCCCGCATCATTTCATCGAGAACCTACGCGCAAATGCTGATTAGCACCCGTTATCCTCACGGTTGTAGAGTTTTTATGAGGTCGGGTTCACTTTTAGGAAACTGTGAGATTAGCTTTTCCACGGGGTGAGGCCCACGTCTCTTGGACGATGCATGATGCATGATTTAAAATAATGTTAAAAAAACAAATACTCAATGACTCAATTGGTACAACCACGGTGCACATACATTTCCGTACGCCTTTTTCACAGAAGTTAAAAAATGATAATGTGGAAGTGAAATACATTTCCATGCACAATACTCCCTCCATACCCATAAAGAAAGTTGTTTAGCACAATGCTTAAGTCAAACCTTGGAAATATAAATCATTAATAACTCAAGTTGTTGAGTTTGAAAATGTAAAAATTATATGTATAGATTTGTCTTGAAAAATACTTTCATAAAAGTATACATATATCACTTTTTAATAAATATTTTTATAGAAACAAGAAGTTAAAATCTGTGTTTTGGAGACTGTGTCACTGTCCTAAACGACTTCCTTTATGAGTTTGGATGGAGTATATATTATACTGATACCAAATGAACTCTCAGATAAATTTATATCACCAAAAAAATAATCATTTAAACATATAGTAGTGCATACAAACATTCAGAAATGTAATACAAATATGATCTTCAAGATAAGTACATTCAAATTCCAGAGTATTGCATAGAAATGATTTCTTCAAGAAAAAAAATGGTGTACTTCGAGTTTTGAAATTCGTTGTACCACGAGTACTAGTTGCTTGGGTTCAAATTTAGATTTAAATTGCAACACTTATGAATTGCTCAAAAGGCAAATATATGTACGACGTTGCCAGAAAACACAGAATACATTTATCTCTACAGCATCATACATAGATGCATTAAGTGTGTTCTATGTACATTTTGCACAAGGAAAAAATGTTGAATGCACAGTAGTATACACGTGCATTCAAAATGTAATGCGTTATTTCTCACAAGAAAGAAATGCTACTACAAAAATTCATTTGAACTGCACCATAGTATACACCTGCATTAAAAATTAGTACATTATTTTCTTATAGAAGAAAAAAAATGCCCTCATAATACATTTGAACTGCACAACATTTATAGACAGATACATTTGAATTGTGTTATTAAAAAAATGGATTTTATCATTTTTATAGACATACGGAGGAAGGGCAGAGCCACCGCCTGACTAGCCCAAGTGGCCGCGGAGGCTCACTGACAAAAACTCCATTAAATTTATAAGTTATTGAATGAATTGATGATGAAATTTATATAACAAATACTAGAAGCGAAGTTTGCTCGGGCTCAAAAATATTTCTCGCTCCGCCATTGTGAGGAGAGATAAAATGGGAATACTAGTTTCATTACTTTGGTTCATTGGAATTTGTGCGTATATATTCGACTTCCAACTTATGTCCATGAATTCAATGTTTTGCCGCTTTGAATAAATATATGAATAAAAGGGTAAAGTTTCACAATTTCAGGCATTAAATAGATAAAAAAAATAGGTTTACTTATCAGATCATATCATTTACTCCCTACATTCCATATTAATTATTATATAAATTTTTCACCAAGACCAAGAAAAGGTATTAACTTTCCTATATTTCATTTAGTGTGAGTATGTGGTAGGGAAAAATCAAGAAACATGCACACTTTGGGCTTGTTTAGATCTCCTGGCAAAAGTTTTCACCCTGTTACATCGAATGTTTGGACACATACATGGAGTGTTTAATATAAACGAAAAAAATAACTAATTACATAGATTGCATGTAAATTGCGAGACGAATCTTTTAAGCCTAATTGCTCCATGATTTGACAATATGGTGCTACAATAAACATTTGCTAATGACGGATTAATTAGGCTTAATAAATTTGTCTCGCAGTTTATAGCCGCAATCTGTAATTTGTTTTGTTATTAGTCTACGTTTAATACTTCAAATATGTATCCGTATATCTGATGTGACACGCCAAAACTTTACACCCATGGATCTAAACACCCCCTTTAACTCCTGCTGGGCCCCATACATAAGAAATTTTCATGCTTAAATGCAATAATATTACAAGTCAAACGAAGGGGCTATGATTAAATGTAATAATATTACATGTCAAACGAAGGAGCTATAGTTACATGATGGTCAATTTGTAAATTTTAATTTGTGTTAAGTGATGATCAATATGAAACGGATGGAGTATTTCATACTGGCTGGTCTATTTTCTAGTGTAAATGAATGTATGAGATTTATCCACGTCACCGTAAGTAAAACATCTATTTTATTTTGTACGGTAGTTTTCATTTTTCACTACATGAAGTTGTGGACGGACATAATTCCTTCGTGGAAAGTTTGCTCTTTTAAGAACGCTAGCTAAGTAGTACTAGTTTCTCTTCAAATAGAGGAATTCGGCTCGATTTGAAGATCCAGTTTTGCAATGCCATCGAGTGGTTTTTCCCAAAAGGTGCAAGGAACAGCCACTGCTTCACATTTTGTCAGAAACTGGTCTTGGTTTATGAACTCAAAAGGGTCTTGAGCGACCAAAACCAGCGAGATGCTCATGAAGAAAAGCCACTGCTTTCATCGAAAGAAGTCTGAGCACACAAGTTTTCAGCATTACAGTGTTTTGAACAAACTAGCAGAGCCAATCCCAACCAGAGAAAAAAATTCTTCAGAAACGGGAAGTAGACCTCTGGACTTTATTCAAGATTCGTCCAAATTGACCGACTCATCGCATATTGTAAGTGATTCGGTGATCTAATAACCCCTTAATTAGCATCAAAATCATGAGTTTAATACTCTTACTATGGACATGGAAGTAGTCACTGAGCCCCAGAGTAGAAGCTAAGGCCCTGATCGGAAGTGCTGGCTGCAGCAGCTGCAGCCAGTCAGCCCCAATCCAAACCAAAGAGCGGCAGCTGTGAATGGCTTGCAGCAGCCAGCACAACCGATCAAGCCCTAAATGTTATGTTTGGGAAGCTTCTAGATTCTTCCAGAAGCTCCAACTCCCTCCAAACACTATTGCACCTTCTTCCAGAAACGCTCGAGCTCTCCTATCCAGAATGAACTAAAAGCTAAGAGCTGGGTTTCTTCTTCATATTCTTAGAAGTTGACTACCAACCAACTGTTTCTCAGAATTGCTCCCCAAACAGAATCAAAACAGAATCAAAGGCTTGTAGCGTGGAGCGAAATTCGAAGGTGGAAAAAAAAATCCAGTGTAAAATCCTCTCAGGGCTAATCACTATGAGCGTCATTCGGTTTGTAGGATAGAAGTATAGGAAAGGATAGAAGTATAGGAAAAATTAAAGGAAAGTTTTCTTTCCTACAAGATGTATAGAAGAAACATAAGAATTTTTGTCATCTACTCAAACCTCCTGGAAAAATTTCTATGGATTGATGTGTGCAAACATTTATATTCCTCTACTTTTCCTATTCATATGGATTCAAATTCCTCCGAACCGAATAATAAGTCATTATTATGCTTGGCGCCTCTGTTTCGCGCAGAAAAAAAAAAAAGGAAAAATCCAATTCGTCGTGGGCCAGTTGAGCCGGGCCCGGCCCGTTAAGGCCTCGCGGTTCGGAAGCCCATCATCTCATCCGGTTCGTTATTTTTATTTTTCTCAGGGAAAAAAAATCCGAAAGAAGAGAAAAAAAAATCCCATCTCAGTCCGCCATGGACGCGGAGATGGACCTCCTCGCCGACGACGACGGCGGCGAGGCCGAGAGGCTGGAGGCCGCGGAGGCGCAGGCCGACCTCCTCCGCGATCGCCTCCGCCTCGCCGTCATCAGCATCGCCACCTCCGAAGGTTAGGCCCGCTTTCTTTGGTTCTTGGGAATGAGGGGGGGGGGGGGGGATTGGGGAGGGAGGATCTTCGCGAATGCTTCAACTGAATGAAACCATGGCGCCGCCGTGCGATTTCTTGCCAGGAAAGAAGGCGGGGATGGAGGTCTCCGACCCCGTCGTCGCCTGCATCGCCGATCTGGCCTACAAGACCGTAGGTACGTATAAATATGAGTAAATATCTCCCAAAACCCTAGACTTTTTCTTGTGTTCGGCGGCTTGTTCGTGCCAACTGTATCCTGTTTCATGATTTGTTTTCACTCTAAATTGTTTTGTATGTGTGTCTGTACTCCATCTTCAATGATCTGCATTCATGTCCATGTGCATAGGTTTGCTCAGATGTCTCCTGTAAACCATTCCAATTCTATCAACTACAGTGCTTAGGCTGTGTTCGTTTGTGTGAGATAGGGTGAGAAAACACCACGTTTTCCGCGCGCACGCTTCCCAAACTACTAAACAATGCATTTTTTGCAAAATTTTTCTATAGTAAAGTTGCTTTAAAAAATCATATTAATCCATTTTTGAAATTTAAAATAGTTTATACTCAATTAATCATGTGCTAATGGCTCATCTCGTTTTGCGTATCTTCCCAATCTTCTCCATCCCCTATCTCTCAAACTCACCGTGTAGAGAGTTATTGGTTTTTAACATTTTCAGCTTGTTCTCTTTAACAGTAGTATCAGTTTCTTTTGTTCTTGATAGTTGCGACAGTGGAGCTTTGTTAAATAGGAGTAGGTGCTCGTTGCCGAAATGCATGTGCAGAGAAGATGAAATTAGGGTGAAATGGTGAAATTTATGCGTGATTTGCTCTGAATGACTGGAAATCTGGATCTCCATAGCTAAAGACCTTTATTAGGGCATCTTCATCAATAACCAAAAGGGAATTCCATTGCTTCTGTTGTCTTATCATTCACCTGCTTCTGGACATATTCTACATTCTAAACAACTCCTAATTCGAGTAACCTAGAATGTATTCATAGTATTTTCTCTTTGAATATGGGGAAGTTAGGTATTAGTTCAATGCATCCGGAGTCAAATGTGGTTTATATAGATCCAGCTATTTGAGATATATTCTGGATATGTGAGATATGAATAAATTGAGGAGGCCCTTTCCTGCTTGGAGATTGTTTCCTGTCACCGTACGGGGGTATATTTTCTGGGCCTAATATACTTGCCAGCATTAACTTTACCGAAAAGACCTAAAAGCTCTGAAACTCAAGGAAATAAAGTGAACTCTTTAAAGAAACTCTGCAATATGTCGATGAATGCGCTATATTCAGTTGAAGCAGAATAAAACAGATTGTCCTGTTGACATCCATGGCTTTTAATCAGGTAGTTCCAAACTGTTGGCAACATACATAACAGGTAACTCAGTTGCAGCAAGTTTCATTAAAGATCAACCCCATCCTGTCCATAAACATCAGAATCACATCTTTTTAGTGACACCACATGAAGATAGAATTATAGAAAGCAATGGTTAACCACCCAATCTTGTACCCCAGGCCTCTTCAGAAAAGTACATTTCTTGCCAGTTGCCAGAAAAGAGTGATTTTGTGATGACAGTAAAGCAGGGGCAGCAGGTTAATGAAGCAGTAGATTCAAAAGTAACATCTCTGAAAATAAAGCACATATAAGCTCTACTGAACTTCTAGATGATATAGATGGTTATGGGTCTTGTTAGATCTTTGATTTTTTTTAATCATGGTAATTCTAATTAACATCTCTTCCGCAATGTGCAGAGCAGCTGGCTAAGGATGTTGAGTTGTTTGCACAGCATGCTGGTCGTAAATCCATCAAGATGGAAGATGTTATACTCACAGGTACATTACGATACCGTGCTCTTCTGATCCCAAAAGAAAACATTTTTATTTTGCTTCGTAAAATACTTGTTTGCATCTTACTTGCTGTGATTGTTGCGACGTAATTCCAGCACATAGAAATGAGCATCTGATGGGCCTCCTGCGGACATTTTCTCAAGAACTGAAGGGTAAGGAGCCTTCCAGCGAGAGGAAGAGAAAGAAATCTTCGAAGAAGGACGACAACGTGATGCAAATCTGATTTAAGTCATGAGATAAATCTTCTTCCCATAGAACAAAGTGGTAGGTTCAAGCAGGAAACTCTGCAAGTAACTCAGGCTACCCACTGATCCTGTATTTCACACATTTAGATGTGGTATGACACAATGTTGTCTGTGGAAAGTGGAGATCCTTCACACCTGTAAATTCACTGAGGCTGTTGTGTCAAGTAGTAAATGGCAAAATTCAGAGTTTGGTTCTTACACGGGATCATGTGCTGTCACACTTTCTGATAATCCTATGCCTCCTGCTGATGTTTGCTCAACTGAAATGTGCACAGAAAAGAAAGGATAAATAACAAAAAACTTCCGTGTAAGTTTAGAACTAGTCACTAATCAGTTCTGTGACAATTTGTGATGTTTGGTTAACCAGGGAAAAGAAAAAACTGATGGCCTTGAAGCTGTATAAGATGAACCTGTCAAACTTTGATGCGGTAAAACTCTCACTGAAGGGATTCTACAGATATCGTGGTATTATGTCAGAATAAGTTCACTTAAGGTCCCTTAACTTGTCACCGAATCTGAAATTCATCCCTGAACCGCAATACCAGATATAACACTTCCCTCAACTCTCAAAACCAGTGCAAATAAGGTCCCAAGGCAGTTTTCCAGGTGATGTCGTCGGCACTCCGTGATGACTAAGTCGTTCAGGCTATCCGGGCGGGCCGAGCAGTGGTTCTAGGAGAGCGTCCCCTCCCCATCGCCGCCGCTGTTCGCCGATGGCCTCGACCCCATGTTCGTCACCACATACGTCGTGCACCTAGACAGCCGCACCGTCTTCATGCTGGAGGCAGGAGCGGCGTGCGACGAGGAGAGGGGCGGATGCCGCCGGCAGTAGGCCCGTGGGGGTGGGAGTAGAGGAGGCCGTGCCATCCTTATCTCCGCCGACGAGAGGAGGAAGGAGAGGGGAGAGAGATGAAGACGGGAGATGGGGAGAGGAAGGGGTTGAGAATGACAGCTGGGGCCCACGTGGGCCCCACCATCAATTATTATTATTATTATCGAATTGCCACATAAGCGCCACGTCAGTTAAAGGCCAAGCCAAATTAGCCAGTAGGTGCCACGTCAGCTAAAACCGCCATCTAAATCACCATAGGACCTATATTGCACTGGTTTGATAATTGAGGGACCCATTGTATCTTGTTTTTTAGTTAAAGGATGAAAATCGGATTCGTTGACAAGTTAAGGGACCTTATATGAACTTATTCCTATTGTGTCTGAACCTGAACAGATGGCCCATTGTGAAACCAACACATTGGGTCTAAAGGCCAACATGGAGCCCATAAGCAGCCATCAAGCAGGGCCCATAAGCCCATGACACTGCTCACTTTGAGCCCATATCAGGCCCATTTCTATCATATCTTTCTGACTGTCTTCAGAGTTCAGAATTCCTCAAGCTGCAGCAACAAATGGGCGCGCTACCAGGTTCCAACCAGTCAAAATAACCCTTTTTTTTCTCTGCAAACTTCAGAATTAGTATAAGCATGCAGTGTGCCGGTCTTCTCTATCTATATTAATATAAAAGATGGTATCACCACCACCATCCAACTACCATGCGGAACCCATGAACTGAGGTGCTTGTCTTGTTTCTTACTTTCCACATGCCATAGATCCCGTCGAAAGAAAAACATGATAATAGAATATTATGAACATTTTTATCTTTATGGAATGACAATAAAATTAGCATAAATGTATTAGACAATTGGGAAAAAGAACCGTTGCAACTCACGAGTATTATGCTAGAATAATTATAAGGGAAATTCAGACTGATATTTTCCAGGGAGGGTTTCATTTGAGCAAGCGTTCTTGGTAAGTTATACAGAGAACTAATTCCAGCAATGCAAATTTCAGAACAAAGTTTGTTTGAATACTGCACACATTATTGGACAAAAAAAATGCAAAGTCAGGTTGACCATTTGAAATTCGCACAATTTTTTTTTGTGAGGAATCTTGTACTAGTACAAATTATTGGGATGCAAACTGCAAAGTCAGGTTGTCCCTTTGAATAGTGTACACATCAATCCCTTTCAAAATAAATAAATTTTTTATATATTAATCTGAATGGAGGTTATGTCTAGACTCGTGTATAAACCTTAATTTATTTTGAAACATAGGGAGTACACATACTGGATAATTCTGAGAGCACCAACATACACGAATTTGTGCCTGTAACGTCTCTCTGCAGCGGCAAACAGCAAACTACTCTACTCAATTCTGGTCAAAGATTCTGAGTCTTTGATCTGCCAACCTCTCCAACCACACACATAAATACTCTATGATTAAATTAGGCTTTGTGTCACTGTTAACAAGATATCTGGTCGTCTGACCCAACTTGCTAATCAGGTTGATTTTGTCTGTTTTTTCAAGTCTTAGCCACAGTCAGATGGAGAGTTGTCATCGTGCCATCGGTTGATTATTTCATTGGTCTCTTCTGTGTTGTTGGAGGAACGTGATGAAAAGAAAAGAAACCCCAAATTAATATTATGTTTGACCAACACGGTCCCCATATTTAAATTTTAGACGATCCATTCGAATTTGATAATGTTTTAAGCGATGTTGTGTAGAAGGCGACGACCGAATCGGGTGTCACGTAATTTTCATCCTAATTAATTTAGATTCATTTGAATCGAACAGATAGACTAATGACAAAGCTCTCATTATTGTTGCCCCTCCCTCCAAAGTTTGTAAAATATGTGTAAATATATGATAGAGTTAGAGTTAAATTCTGTCCTAAGCTCTCTTAAATAGGGAGGCAGACCTGTTGTAACTGCGTGACAACTAACATAGGTGAGCGGGAACGGCTACCGGTGACATTCGACCGAAGATTGTTGTATAGCTCTGATACCACTTGTTGTAAAACGAGCTCCGAAATTGACAATGGTAGCTAAATGCGGAATAGCTGATTTAAAATCCCGAGCAACAACAGGTCAAATTCGTTGATGGATTCAATGAGTTGTTTGGCAGTACAAGGTATATCTAGGATATGCGGGTTGGCATGATGGGATATAAGGAAATTTGCGTCACTGAAGAGGAAGAGCAAACATTATTATGGTAATTTTTTCAGGTGATTCGAGGCGATGGTGATTTTCTAATATTATCATGGATTCGGTCTAAAGAAGCTGGAAGCACGGATGTTGAATTTGTTAGCTCGGTTCATAAGACGAAAGGAAGAAAATGTTCTCTTTGTGTCCGGTGAGTTTAATTTATTTATTTGGTGATGACATTAGTTATTTGGCTATGGATTAGGTCAAGTTAAATTAAAAATGGAAGATAAAGGTTAACATGATATTCAATAGTCTGGGATGTACCAGCTAGGAAGGAATCAATTTTGCTTTGTAAGATGTTTGCGATGATAGAAGAGAAGGTAGAGCACTTTGCAGGTAGAGTCGAGAGAAAAAGGTCATGGGGATAGTGGAGACTCTTGATTACGGTGAGCATAGTGAAGGCTTGTCGTGAGCAATAGAAAGAAACTAACGCAAGTCCAGATACACGGTGGTTCGTCAAGGAACAAATCATGTTGCCATGGCATATTCGTCAAGATGAAGATTGTTAGAATTTATGTTGAACATGTATACAAAGTCGGCTGCAGTTTAGATATTGGAGTTGTAATAGGCGTAGGAGAGAGTTGGAGTTATACTTTGTCTTAAGCACTCTCTTAAATAGAGAGACAGACATGTTGTAATCGTATGACGACTTAGCATAAGTGAGAGAAAATGGCTGCCGACAACATCCAACTAAGGGTCGTTATAACTATGATGCGCTGTAATTATGTTGGATCAGGAGAAGTATTCATAATAAGTGCTCCAAAGATGTAAATTATGACTGAACTCCATTATTAAATATCATGTCTCGATGTTGTCGTTAGTTTTGTATATGCTATGATGTTCTTCTGAGTTTAGCCACCGATGTAAGTTGTGAAGCTGGTTTTATAACATATACAACTCGTCTACTCCTTTGGATTACTATATACTTGTCGCTGTTAACCAGCCTTGACTGTTAACCAGCCTTGATTTAATTATAATCACTATAAACTTTTAAATTATCGAATTTTTGTTGAGCAAAAGTTGTATGGTTATATTTAACATATATATGTACAACCTACTTCAACGATATTCATACTTTGCAAGCACTTACAAACTTATGAAAAATAAGAACAGTCAAAGTGAACATATATAATAGTCTCTGATGACAAATACTCCCTCCGTTTCACAATGTAAGTCATTTTAGCATTTTCCACATTTATATTGATGTTAATGGATCTAGACATATATATATATATATATATTCATTAACATTTATATGAATGTGAGAAATGTTAGAATGATTTATATTGTAAAACGGAGGAAGTATTTAAGAACGAGGGAACTAATATAGCACAGGAGATCAAGACGAACTCCGCATCTTGCACCACAAAGAAGGGAATAACAATGCAATTAATCATACAAATCTTTGTTGCTTTCATCGTCACACACATGCTGACATGCCATCGGCCTTGCACTACGACAGATGAGCTGAGAGGTTGTTTGATTGGCATATTCATATTGCTAAAGCTGATCATACTTCTATTAGCTACCATGCCTAACATTAAGTGGTCAACAAAATTAAAACCACATGAAGGAGCAAGCTTGTCACGCTTTTGTATGCCAACAGGATGGATCTACAGTGTAAATACCGTGTCAGTTGACATTGATGACTTTGATAAAATCTACGGTTAAATTGTTTGTCTATATATTATAACACTACGATCTAAGTATAACTAGGTGAAACCCCGCGCATTGCTGCGAAAATTCAGTATGATAACAATAAAAAGAAAACGTGTAAGATAGCTAGATAATATCAGATTAAGTAAATTAATGTGGTTTATGATAATTTAAATTTAAATAGTATGTAGAATAGTGATTCAAACACAAAAAGTAAGGTGGTATGACTTTATGGAAGAAGAAAAGTAGGGAGATAGTTTGGACCGTAGATTAATCATCTAAAGGCTAAAAACAATTAATGTGATATGACTTAATTAGAGGGAAAAAAAGGAGAAATATAATTTGGACCATAAATTAATCATTTAAGCACTAACTAAGTGAGGATGAACTATATAAGTATATAGGATATCATAAAACATAATAAAGATATACATTGAAACATTATGTGAATTATGTTGGATGATAATTTAACATGTTTGTATTTGAAAAGCTCTTGAATTATAAAAACTATAAAGATATAGCATGTTTGCATAATGTTTAAATGTGATGATTGTTAGTGGATGATG